CACTAAGGCTACATTTTCAATACTACGTTTTTTTTTCAAAAGAATTTCTCGTGTGGTTGTGGTAGCCATTGCTATTTTTCGTTTGTCTTTAGACGTACTTTCTTCTTCAGCCAAATCTTTTGCATCTACTTCCTGTTTACACCAGCAAGCACTTGCCCACTGTATGTGAATGGCCACTTGAGATGTGTTTTCAGTCGTTTTAATATAGAAGGTGTAGGAAATCTGGATGCCTTTGCTGTGCTCGTAGTCACTCGTTGGAAGAGTCCAAACAGTTCAGTGGAAAGAAGCACAAGGACAAGATTTACTTTTTGAGAGAATAGTGAGTTTGCTTTGCATGTTTAGGTCATGGTCACATGAGCAGGTATTGTGACAGGCGCTTGACATGCAAAGTCTGTGGCCAAACTCGTCCCACCGTGCTACATATTAAATGGTACATTTAGAGGAGCCATATAATAACCAGCCAATTTCACAAGAAACATGTGGACACACAAGGGCCAATAAGGACTAGTGCGTTCTGTCTATTCTCCCTGTAAAGGTGAAATTGCATCATGAGCATCTATACTTTTCTGGATCCTGGAAGTTCAGCCACTTTCTGCACGGAAGATCTAATCCAGAAACTGAATATTACAGGCAGAAGAACTAATTTCTTATTGCCCACCATGGGGCAAGAAACTGTTACACAGCCTACACATTGACTGGTTTGGAGGTATCTGATCTGGACAGCAATGGCTTCTATATGCTCCCAAAGGTTCTCACACAAAAGAAAATGCCAGTCTCTTTGGATAACATGGTGACGCCTGAAGACTTGGCTAGCTGGCCATACTTGTCAAAAGTACGCATCCCAAGCATAAAGTCAAACGTTGATCTCTTAATTGGAACAAGGTATTAGAACCTTGGGAGGTCGTCAACAACTGCGGGAATGGCCCGTATGCTGTTAGGACTGTGCTGGGATGGGCCATTAGCGGTCCGCTGAATGGTAACAGCATTGGAGATTGAACTTCCCTCTGCTGTGGTGAACAGGATATCTGTGGGCAAACTGGAAGAGATGCTGACCATTCAACACAATCATGATTTCAATGAAAAGAATATAGAAAAGAAGGAAATGTCCAGAGAAGATAGCATGTTTCTTGAAACTATGGAGCACTCGGCAGTACTTCAAGATGGAAAAATATTGTTTGAAATTGCCATTCAGGAACAAGGAAGTCTATCTCCCCAACAATTTTGCAGTGGCTAAGCAGAGGATTGAGGGTTTGAGGATCCTTAAAGATCAACACTTGCACCAGGAGTATACAGGATAAATGAATAATCTCATTGGTAAGACATATGCGGAGCAAGTACCTCAGCAGCAACAGCATCGGGAGAAAGGAAAGATGTGGTATATTCCTCACCATGGTGTCCATCATTCGAGAAAAGTTCCCTTCGGGTTGACTGTGGAGCCACTTGTAAAGGAGTCTTGCTAAATAGTGAGCTCTTGCAGGGTCCTAACCTCACCAGCTCGCTGCTAGGAGTTCTAACTCGCTTCACGCGGGAACCTGTGGCATTCATGGGTGATATTCAAGCCATGTTCCACCAGGTGAGGGTTGCTGAGGGAGACTTTCTGCACTTTCTCCGGTAACCAGATGGAGACATCAGTAAAAACTTTGTGGAGTTTAGAATGACTTGATGATGATTATGATTACAACTGTTTTGCCCTGTTTTGTCCCCCAGTTGTGCAAGCTATACACTGAGAAGAACTGCTGATGATAACCATTCTGAGTTTTCGGATGAAGTTCTTCAATGCATCAAGCATAACTTACATGGATGACTGCTTGAAGAGCTCAGCCACAGAAGAAGCTATCCAGATGGTGAGAGACCTAATTGCTGTGTCGAAAGGGAGGTTTCATCTTGGAGCATCTTGGTTTTCTAGCACCTGTCAATTTGCTAAAACGATGCAGCAAGAACCGAGATGTTGTGGATGGGATGATGCTCTACCACAGGACATCTTACACAAATGGGAAAGATGGATGAAAGACCTGGATCTGCTGGCTGCATTTAATGTGGATAGGTGCATCAAGACAGTGCCTTAACAACGAGGACAGGCACAGAATCTCGACCATCAAAGAAATATCTGAACCCCCACAGTGGAGACACGTTGGTTCTAAAGATAATCCAGCGGATGATGCATCGAGAGGTATGAAGGTCTTCTGAAGAAAGGTACATGGCTCAAAGGTCTTTTATTTCTTTGGAAACAGGAGGAACAAACAGACACGGGCCTAAACCCGTGTCTGAATTGTCGTTGGACTCAAATGACCCAGAGGTGAGGAAAGAGACTACAGCAAATGCCATCAGTGTGTGTGCGCTGTGTCTAGTCCTACTGACCGGCTCATTGATTACTTTTCTGACTGGAGGAGGCTGAAGACAGCAGTTGCCTGATTCCTCAGGTTAAAGGTCATGTTGTTAGCAAAAGGTCGCCTGAGGGGCCAGTTGGAGGCTGCTGTGGCTAACCATCCAGAGGAAACTAGTCAGAACAAATTGAATAATCCTGAAGGACAATGGGGCACAGTGGCATCTAGGAGTGGAATCCTGACACTGGAAGATCTATTAGAAGCAGAGATTGCCATCATTCGCTATTTTCAGCAACAGAGATTCAAGGTGGAGATTTCTGTTCTGGGAAAGCAGCAGTGAGTAGACAGAGTTCCATATTTGGACTGGATCCAATGGTCTTTTAAGAGTTGGAGGAAGGTTGAACAGAGGAGCAATGCCTGAGGAAGTCAAACATCCCCACATTCTCGCCAAGGATCAGCATGTCTCTATGCTTATTCTTAAGCATGTACATCAGAATGTGGGCCATGGTGGACGGACTCATACACTGTCCAAAGTGAGGAAGAGGTTTTGGATTACCAAGGCCAATTCAGCAGTTAGGAAAGTTATTGCAGAATGCAGCTTTTGTAGACGGTACAACGGAAGAGCAGTGGAACAAAAGATGGCAGACCTTCCAAATGTGAGAATCCTTCCTGATCTACCGCCATTTACCAACATGGGAGTAGATTACTTTGGACCAGTTGAAGTAAGGAGGGGACAATCAACATGTAAGTGACACAGAGAGTTAAATTTACCTGTATGGCAAGCAGGGCCATCCATCTGGAAGTAGCTGTATCCCTGGAAACGGATGCATCCATCAATGCTCTGTGGCGTTTTATTATCCAAAGAGGACAAGTGGAACATCTGAGGTCAGACAATGCTACCATCTTCACTGGGGCAGAAAAGGAACTCAAGAAGACTCTTGTTACTTTGAACCAGGAGATGATTCAAAGAGCCATGTCACAGGTTGGAATCTGTTGGAGTTTTAATCCACTAGCTAGTTCACACCATGGTGGTGTGGGGGAACATCCACCTGGTGTGAAGGGTCCTCACTTCTGTCCTACGTCAGCAGACATTAGATGATAATGGACTTCATACAGCGTTCTGTGAAGTGGAGGCCATTTTGAATGGTCAGCCTATTACTAAGCTCTCAGATGATCACAGCGACCTGGAACCTCTCACTCCTGACCATCTTCTTCTTCTGAAGGGTAAACCATCTCTGCACCTGGAGTGTTTGATCCTCATGACCAATATGGAAGAAGACGATGGAGACAGGTACAGTACCTCTCAGATATTTTTTGGAAGAGATGGATGTGAGAGTACTTGCCCTTGCTTCAAGAGAAGCAAAAGTGGAATCAAAGAAAGAGGAGTTTGATTGCTGGAGACATCGTGGCAATAATGGATTCTTCAGCTCCTCGTGGTTCTTGGCCACTCGGCAAGGTTCTGGAGGTTTTTACAGACAAACATGGGCTTTGTGTGGTCTGTAAGATTACAGACTAAAACTAACATCATGGAAAGACCAGTGACAAAACTCTGTTTGCTGCATGGAATTTAAATTTGTTCATTCATGCTGGACTTGACTGTACTTTGTTGGATTGTAACATTTTGGCTCTTTGGTTTTTGTTTGAATTGTAATGGTTCCTGGTAATTAACAATTAGGGGTCGGTGTGTAGGAGCCAAATGTGGTATTTGTGCATTTATATATTGGCTGTTGTTTTCTGTTTGTACATTGGGTGTTGTACTGATATTACTGTTTTTTGGCTGGAATGACCAAGAGTTCAGTCTTAGAGAGGTTGCATTTAAATTAGATTTGTTCTTCTAAATGTTTCCAAAACAGCAACCTATTCAAGGTTAATCTTTTTTACTTCACAAAGTTTCAGACTGTAGTCTGTTTTTGCTAATAACAATGTGAGTTGCATGAGAATATGTTGTGTGTGATGAGTCTGTTAACAGAAGATAACAACTCTGTGGTTGTTTCTAAATTAAAAACACTTTGGCCAAATGTGGCTCTGCACATGTTTCACTGCAGGACTGATAATTAAAAATAAAACTAACATAAATAAATGTAAAACTGTGCAGATTTACATTTCTCTGTGCATTCTGCTCACAAACCATATGTGGAAAATATTTTACTGTTGTGTTTAACTCTTGTTTTAATGTAAATAATTGTTATATTAAGTGCTTAAGTGATTTTACATCAAAGAGAAAACTGACTCAGAAGACTAAAGATGTGTGCACCATTTTTTTTCCACTCTGCACATCAAACCACAGCAGCAACTTCCTCCTATTGACTCCAGTAAACTGTGGTCTGATGCTGGTGGTTTCTCTCTACAGTGTGCTCTGCTTTAGCTGATGATGATGTGTTTGTTTTCTTGCTTGTGCTGAAATGTTTAAACTTGTTTTAATAGAAGCGAAGAGCTTTATGATTGTCTAGTTACAGAAAAATACCTTCCAGCCATACTTGGTCTTTCACCTTTCACAGCAGTGGTGTTGAGAAGAAGAAAACTGTCAAACCTGCTGCCGTTTATAGTAGAACTTACTACACCACTAGTATTATTACATGTGTTTTAGTACTTATAATAATGTAAACAGCAGTAAACATACCAGTAGTAGTACGACAGTACTAAATATACTAACAGTACTGGTATCAACTGTAGTAATTTGTGTGTATTTCTGTGTATTTTGTTTTCCAGAGAGTGATCCAGCTGCAGTCTACTCAGGAGATGTCAGTTATGGACAAATAGCTGTCAGGCCACACAAGACGAGAGGTACGGCTGCTCTTTATTTATTAACTTTGGACAGAGCCAGGTTAGCTGTTTCCCCCTGCTTACAGCCTTTGTGCTAAGCTAACCATGACCTGACTCAGATCAATCTCCTCATTTCCCAGAAAGAAAAAGAGTACTTCCCAAACCGTTGAACTATTCCTTTAAAGAGATGTGGATAATTGGCAGGTCAGAAGGACGAAACATGAGGATCTCTAAGACAGTCAAGACACGGTTCAGGAGGGATGTATACATATCAACTACCACATGATTTTAATTATTTTAATAGTTATGAATCATGGTGATCACCGTGGAAACATACGATACTCTTGACGATAGCTATTACTGGTGAAATAAATTTGTTACACAACAGGTAGAGACAGAGTGTTAAGAACAACATATTCTAAAATTTAAAATGATGGAGTTTGTTTTCTTTTGGAGATGTTCTCCCAGTTGTCTAGCCATTACAATTTGGCCCTTGTCAAAGTTGCTCAAATTCTCAATCTTGCCCATTTTTCCTGCTTCTAACACCTCAACCTTGAGGACACAATGTTCACTTGCTGCCTAATATATCCCAACAGCCTGTTCTCATCTCAGGGCGTCATATACCGACGATTTGAGAAAGAGTGACAAAGCGTAGGTATTTGACGCTAAAGGCACCGGGTGCGTCTCCATGAAACGCTTCCAGAAGTGTCTCTATGAGACGCTCTGGGGCGCCCCATACAGACCGGAAGTGCTAGCTTGCTAGCGGTAGTATTCACCCCTCTTGAATGTTTCACCATTTTGTTTCTTTTATACATGAAATCATGGTCAATATAATTTGGCTTTTTTGACAGTGACCTACAGGTCAGTAGTGGTATACAGGTCTAAGGAAATGTGGGCTGTTTTCTTTTCTAACAAAAGGCATTAGTTGGCAGGTCTAGGCACCAAGGCATAGCCTAAACTAAATTATTTCAGGATATTATTATATTTGCTATCTTCCAACCAACTTAACTTTCTGCATTTATTGGACGTTAAACGTCGTTCATGCACAACACCTGAGCAGTGCTACGGGCTGATGCAGCAATTCATGCAAAAGGAGACCAGGCTAAGTGCTGACTGCGAGAATTAACCTTTTTCAGAACTTTTCAGAAGGTCGGCATTTCTGTAACGTCCCTTCTTTATTCTAATATTCTAATATTTTGAGATGTAGATTTTTGATTTCCATGAGCTGTAGGCTGCAATCACCAAGATTAAAACAAAAAATGCTGAAATATTTTACTTTATATGTAAACATATAATTTGTATGAATCTCGAATGAAAGGTACATTTTTAAAATTTAATTGCATCCACGAGATGCATATATCCAGTCTTGACATCTCACCTGTTACCAGTTAGCCCGCTTATTGTTGAGACTTTCAAACAGGTGATACTTGAGTGCTCTGTGCAATTTTTTTGTTGAGTGTGTGGCAGGCATTAAATTCTAACTTTGTTTATATTTACACAACAGTTAAATAAATGTGAATTAACAAATCACAGATTTGAGTTTTGTAATGTTGTTGACAATATCTGATGTCTAATAATTATGTAAACTTAGAAGATTTTAAATTATTCACAATAAACACATCATTCCTCAAATTACAAAACTTGATGATAATAAAGACTAAATGACGACGTACTGTTGGTTAGTTTTGCTTATCTGATATTTCCCGCTCAATATATATCCACAAGTGTAAACATTAAACTATAGGAGGTTATATTACAGCTTACTTAGACACTGAAGTCTTTACTAGCTGAGACGTTTTTACTGGTGCGACCTGATTCAGTGAATCTCTAGTTTGAAACTCTTGTTAGTTCCTGAGAACTGAGTGAAGCAGAGTTGTTGTCTGGTGACGGAGTTTCTTTGTCTCCAGCAGTTTCTCATGTTGTTTGAACTGTTTGTGTTTGTGTGTTCAGAGTTTCCAGCAGAGCCAGAGGTCGTCTACTCTTCACTGAGGTAGACCTTCACACCTTCACACCAGTCCAACCACTGATGTCCAGCTGGCCTGGAACTGGTCCCCAGAGCCCCTCACACCTCAGCACATCCATTAATTATATAAATAAATTGTTAAAATCCTGTTTTTTAAGTCATTAATTTTTTTTACCCTGTAAGTGTTTCAGTACAGAACCAACATGTTACCTGTTGTCATTCATATATTTCTACTGAACACAAACTAATAATAAACTCCAATTGTTTTGGGGGCAATGTAATAACTTTACTTTTATTTACTGTATATTTTATTAATGTTTTTGTTTCTTGTTGCAGCAGCAACTTCTTTCTCTGCAGGACCAGTAAACTTTGGTCTCGTTCTTGTTTTTCTCCTCTGGTTCTGTTGGTTTCACAAAGCTGTTGGATGGAAAATGTGACGTGTTCTGGTTTCGCTGTGGCTAACCGACAGGTTTCTCGACAGATAACTAAAAATAAACAAAACTGCAGCCGCAGACTCTGAACAGCATGAACATGATTCAACTTAAGCACAGTCCCTGTGTTGCTGAATACAGTTGTAAGCCACAACAACACCAGTGAAGCATGTTTGAGGTTGCAGGTATGAACCATCATGGGGGTCTGGGGACCTGATGGATGACCTAATCAGGACTGGACTGGGACAAAACATTCTACCGGGCATTTTTTGCCCAGGTGTCCCACCACTACAGGTCAGACACCCCTCACAAATACACCATCCTTGCAGTCCCCTTAAATATATGTACCTACTGTAATTGTAACTGCCCTCAGTGGGTAAAGCAAGATTCAGAGAGTCTCGACTGATTTCTTTTACCCTTTCTTTATTTATTACAGTTCCTCCTTGTACTATACAGTAAGCACCATGAAAACTATAAAGATATACAAATATAAGTACCTTTATACCTTTGGAAGAATCTAAAATCAAACATGCAAAACCGTAAACCTAATTAAATACACAAATTAAACTACCATTACTCTATATCAATATACACAATAACTTTTAAAACACACAGTTAGTTAATACATCGAGCTAAATGGCTCTTCGTCAATATTACACACCACTAAAGAACTTCCAGCTTCCAAGATAAATACCTCGTTCCGCTTCCCAAGGTTGTAAACTTAAGATTTGATGTTTCCTTTGTTTTGGATTTCTTAAAATCTTCATAAGTCGGCGTCTTTTACGTGTGCTCTATGCACGCTCTGCTATTTGTTTGTGGTTTGCAACAACCTTAAACTGGTAAGTACGGGGTTTATCTACACTTTCACAGGGGTTTATTTAGCCCAGTGGCAGAAAATACACTGCTCACTTGTGGACGCTACTGGCAGCTGTGGAAGTTGTCTGCCCATGTTTACCATAATCCTAAAAAAAACATCCTTTACAAATACATAAAATAAATTCACAATAATTGCAAATCAATACATCTTAAATGACTCCAAGCGGACAGTTACAGTAATATTCCCTCAAACCACTATAAAGCTGAGTAGGAAGTGCTGTGGCTCAGTGTACTCATTCACATTTTACTGACTCCCTGTTGATCAGAGGTGGAGTACACAAATCATACTCAAGTAGAAGTATAAGTAATTGTTAAAGAATAAACCCTCTGAAGTCACAACATCATTTGAAATTATTATTCGGTCCAGAATTGTTAATGAATTCCCTGACAAAGCTGTTCAGTTTCACTTTGTTTCCTGCAAATTGATGTTTTTCTTATTACATAAAGATCCCTTGCGGTCAAACTCAGACCACAACACAGCCCACGTCTTCCCCACTTTTACTGTTCTCTAGAGCAGTGAACCAGAAAAAAAAACTGTATTTCCTAACAACAAACCAAACATAACTAAAGATTAAATAACAAAATAAAGACCATATCATAACAACTGAAAACTGTGAAAATAGAGTTCCAACGAAGGTTAAAATGAAGGGCAACTGGACTTGGTTGAAGATACTGGAAGACGTTTCGTCCCTCATCCAAAGGACTTCTTCAGTTCAGACTGACTGGCAGGGAAACTCAGCTATTTAACCTCAGTGGGGTCGTTATCCCGGGTCATCGATACCGCTGTTTCGTTAGTGTTCCTTGTTGCTGTGACGACAGTCGTTACAGTCGTTAAGACTACCTGTGGCCAAGACTGAACGACCATCGTTGGTATCTTCACCTGAGGTACGTTTGTTGAGTTTCCTGGGAAGTGATGAAAGGACCGCATTGTAAGTGGGGGATAAGTGGTGGCGTAGACCCCCTCCCCTGTTCAATGACAGCTTCTCAACCCTGGTGTAGATGGCTTCCTTGACACCTCTTTCAAACCATCCATCTTCTCTGTCTAAAATGTTCACCTGGTGGTCCTCAAACGAGTGTCCTCTGTCCTTCAGATGTAAGTAGACTGCAGAGTCTTGACCTGAGGAGTTGGCCCTTCTGTGTTGAGCCATGCGTTTGTGTAGTGGTTGTTTAGTCTCCCCAATATACAGGTCTGTGCATTCCTCACTGCAGTGGACCGCATACACTAGATTGCTTTTCTTGTGTTTGGGTGTGCGGTCTTTGGGGTGTACCAGCATCTGTCTTAGTGTGTTCTTGGGTTTAAAAAACACAGGGATGTTATGTTGTTGTTGAAAATCCTCCTGAGTTTCTCTGATACTCCAGACACGTATGGAATCACAATGTTGTTGCGTTTGACCTTCTTTTCCTCCTCCCCTGTAGTTTTGTTCTTCTTGGATCTTGTGGCTGTTTTCACAAAAGCCCATTTAGGGTCTCCACAGTCTGTTAGTGCCCCCTTCAGGTGGTTCTGTTCCTTCTCTCTGGCTTGGGTGCTTGTTGGTATGTTTTCCGCTCTGTGGTGCAGTGTTCTCATGACCCCTAGCTTGTGCTCCAGTGGGTGGTGTGAATCGAAGAGTAGGTATTGGTCTGTGTGTGTGGGTTTTCTGTGAAAATAGAGCTTCACACACCCAGGGAAGCCAGAAGGAGACATAAAACATTAGTTATGGGACACTGTGAAGGTAATCACTAACATGACACCAGCTCAAAGATGGAGGTCAGATCACTTTTTAAAGACTTTCGAAGCCTCAGGGCCGGATGGATTATCTGCATTCCTCCTGAAGACATGAGCAGAGGAGCAGACAGCTGCACAGAGCCCCATCTTTGAAAACTCAGCAGACTCACACACCATCCCCACCTTGTGGAAAAAATCAGTAATTACACCTGTAACTAAAAAACCTTACCGAAAGGTGAATAATGATTTCAGGCCTGTGGCTCTGACTTCTGTTGTCATGAAATATCTTGAGAGGATAATGGTGTCGTTTCTTAAGCAAGATGTTGGTGAGCTTTCAGATCCCTTTCAGTTTGTTTGGAAGCAGCAGCATTTTACACCTGGTCAGCAAACAGCTCAGCAGGCATTTTGATTGTTGATTTTAGTTCAGCTTTGCAACACTCTGCAGCCTGAAATGCTCATCCAGAAACTGAAACATGTTGCTGCTTTTAGTCTCTGGTATTTTTATTATTTTTATTTATTATACTGCTGTACTTTTTTAACAAACTGTTCTCAACAGGTCAGAGTAAACAATGCTCTCTCTGAGCCCAGATCAGCTCTCCTTTTTACACTTTACACTAATGACTGCACAAGGACAGAAGTCCAGCAGCTTATCATACAGAAACCCAGGAATGTGTATTACTATCTGACTTCTGACCTCAAAGAGCTCCAGGTGCATGATGGTATATGACGCTGAAAGTGAACGAAAAACATCTCTGACTGTGACAAACTGTGTAGCTGCATCAGTCGGTAATCCTCATAAGTCAGTAAATGTATATTTCCCAATGTTTACACACTTCTTTTTTAATGTTTTCCTGAATAACTTTTCTGCAGAGAAGATGATTTTCAGAAATTGTTTAGTGTAACCAGCTACCTGATAACATTGGCAACATATTTCTACATCAATTACATGCAGAACAGATTTTATTATATGATAGTATTTATTATTTTAATAAAAGACATATATACTTTGTCACCTTTTAGTTGATGGTTTACCATGTGTGCTTCCATGGGAGCTGCCATTGTTGTGTGACATCATTCAGCTGCATCTTGGGTAGTCATGGTTCCCTTTCCTTTATATATATATTTTGTTGTTGTTGTTGTTGTTGCATGTAATAGGTTTTCAAAGTGAAAAAGCACAAAGTCTACCAAGAGCTCCAGAGTGCGACTAATTTGGTCACATGTGCCCAAAAATCTCCTCAGATAGGTGTCCATAAGAACAAACCAAATGTCTCTATTTTTTTATTGTCCTTTATTTATTGCCACATGAACATGTGCTCATTTTTCCATATAGGTGTGTTTGTTAAATTATATACAAATACAAAGTTAATACATGCTGTGTATAAAAGACTAAACTGGCCAAATATGTGATTTGTCTCTCAGTAAGTGTCGCCCCTGAGGCTCTGCACAACCTGGTCAGTTATTCACTTTGAGACTCAGCATTAAGTTTATTTCCCGTTAACTGTGTGAGAGAAAACCACAAGAGTACGAGTGACACAAAAAGGAAGGAAAGGGTTTTACTTGGTGTGACTGGTAAAACATTAATGTGCTGATCTCACATGACCAAGATCTAAAATGGAGAAATCATCTTTACTGTGGCTGCTAGGTAAGTAAGAATATACAAATGCTTGTCTCCACGTTGTCTTAAAGATTAGTTCGTAAACATTTCTGGTGATTTTTAGAGCAGTGAGTTATAGAGAAAAGTAGAAACGTTTTAAAGTTTTATACAGAAAGGTATTTACTATCCTGAAGTGCTTCAGAAGAGAAAAGCACACACATGCCCAAGCTCGGACCAGAGGTTGACTATTTAAAACACAATCGAAGTCAAAATACAAAAAAACAAACAAGTTAAAATAGGGTTTCTACATGTAATGGCACCTTAATTGTTTGTAAAATTGACAGTGACAAATATTCAGTGCAGCATCGGGGCCAGTGCTGCTCAGTCTGTCCTCATAATCCTCCAGTACGCCTTGTTCCACCTGCTGAGCTCCTCCAAGCTCTCAATCCTGCTTCTGGCCGCCTGATGGTGAGAAACAGTAACCCTAAATGACCGAGTGGTCAGAGTCAGGGAGTCAAATAACCCTGTATGCTTCACAGTGCTTGAAACTTGTTGATCAGTCCTTTGGCCAACTCGGCTAAGCTTGTCTTAATATAAGAATTAACAACAACTAAAATGAAAAGCAAATACACATGACAAATACAAAAAGAAAATAACTAAACGTACAAAACTAAAAGCAACTCAAAACCTACACAAGACAAAAAGGTAGACCAGTAACTATAAAGTCTTTAAAATCTGTCAGTCCACCACACAAGGGGAACAGCTATACTACACACTATTACTCTCTGGAATGAAGTAGATAATGCGTAGGAGAGGTTCTTAATCAGGAAAGGAGTCCTAACGTTCCTCGCCTACTTAAGTCCACACCAGCCACTTTCCCTCCAGTCAACCCAGCCGCTGCTCAAACCTGTCTACAAAGGTTACGACCTGGCTCATGGGGTAAAGGGAAGCAACATGAACCAGAATGTTTTTGGTAAAAGTGCAAGTTATTTATTATTGCCAGGGTTTACAAACAGAACGGGAAAAAGGGCTGGTGGATGCTGCTTAAATGAAAGAAACAAATATAACTTAAAGAGGCCTTTCCAACTGAGAGAGAGCCACCTGTGACTAAACAAAACTCTGACCTGTTCAGCAAGAAACAAAATGCAAAATGAGCAGCACCCTCTAAGCCTAGTGTGTCTAACAAACTGCGGGGTGTCTGGTTGATATCAGTAATCCCCACTAAGATACTTGCCCTGCTTCCTTAACACAATTCACAAGGTAAGGCAACAAACCGACACTAAGATCTAACACCTCCCACTTGAGCAAGCGCTCCAACAGCAGTTAACATGATTACCACAATAAAACACAAACACGCGCGTTAATAAAAGGGCAAAACAGTAAAAAAAAGTTCACACAGGTAGGCAGCTAATTAAACAGGAGATGATCGGGAAGGCGGTAGATGATTGGAGGAGGTTGCCAGACGCCGCACCAATCAGATCACGAGCTGGAACCAGGAAGTAGGCAGGTCTTGCGCCAGCCAATCCTCGGCAAGGGATCGCACATCCTGCTTAACATGACACAGCTGGATAACACAGATACACATGCACAGATGAGGACAGTGGGTGTAAAAACCTCAAAGGTTGCTCATCCTAAATGGTAAATGCTCATTGAGGTGAGAACGTGTTGAAATGCTCTGTATTTGTGTAGCTGCTTTGTAGTCTTCCGACCACTCAAAGCGCTTTAAACTACGTCACATTCACCCATTCACACACATTCATACACTGATGGGTCATTGGGGCTTCAGTATCTTGCTCTAGGACACTTTGAGACACACATTTCAACATGCTCTGTTTGTGGAAAGTAAACTAAAAAAATTGACTGTGTCCTTTAAATAAATAAAACTTATTATTTTCATATCTAATATCAACGTGTGGCTGTTTTTCTGTGCACTACAAGCAGATTGTTGTGTTTTGTGGAAAGTGCAGATCTCTTGTTGCATGTAAAACCTCAAACCAACCTGAGTGTGATTTCTCTTTAGTTCTGACCTCACTGCTGAGCTGCACAACAAACCAAGGTGAGCAAACTTCTTCTGTCACAGCCAAAGCTGTCAAGTCTGCAACACTGAGTGGCTAACATATTAAAATATTTACAACTACAACACAAGTAGCCAGATCTCAACCACCGTTGAAAACATGCAGAAAACTTTTGTCTATCAGCTCTAATCTGAGATTAATTCAGTGCCTGAAACTCAGAGATCAGTTCGGCAGTGAAGAAGTGACAGTGAGAAAGTAGGAATATGAGGAATGTGGAGAAAATGAATGCAAATCATCTCTTTAACCACATCTTTCTGTCTCTTCCTCCAGCCTCTCTGACTGTGAGTCCCAGCAGCTCTCAGTTTTTCAGCTGGAAGTCTGTCTCTCTGAGCTGTGAGGAGGACGACAGCTCTGCTGGATGGACGCTGAGGAGGAACACAACCAGAGAAACCAGGACTCAGTGTGGAGCTGGCTGGGGAAGATCAGCTGGTTCTTCCTGTAACATCAGCAACATCCTCTTATTGGACAGTGGAGTTTACTGGTGTGAGTCCAGAGAGGGAGCAACCAGTAACACCATCAGCATCACTGTCACTGGTAAGATCAGACTGTGGAGTTAGTGTTGATGAAGCTGTGTGTAAATGATGAAATGCTGTAGTTTGTCTCTGTGTTGAGGTGGACCAGTGATCCTGCAGAGTCCTGTCCTCCCTGTGATGGAGGGACATGATGTCACTCTGCACTGTAAAACAGAGACCCCTCCCTCCAACCTCCCAGCTGGTTTCTATAAAGATGGCTCCCTCATCAGGACTGAGCCTACAGGTCACATGACCATCCACCATGTTAACAAGTCTGATGAAGGCCTCTACAAGTGTAACATCAGAGGTCGTGGAGAGTCTCCATCCAGCTGGATCTCTGTCACAGGTGAAGAGGTTACCTTTGATTTCAGGACTTATTTCATCCAGAGATTCACCTGACCAGGTGGATTCTCTCTACAGGTAAACCTACAACCTCAGCCCCGCCCACATCTGCAGCTCTGACCATCCCGCCTACTCTATCGCCCCCTGCCTCAGACCCCATCCAGCTTGTGTTCAGACTGATCTACCACCTGGTGGTGTTCTGTCCATACTGCATCTCCACTGTCCTCCTGGTGTCTTTATATCGACACAGGCCCACAGGTAACACTCTGAATCCATCAGTCAATCAGTCAATAAATATCACTGATTATTGACAGTTGTCTCTAACAGATAAATGATCTACATTTTCTTTCTAACCTGCTCTGACTGCAGAAAATTACCTGCCCGTCTCCATGGTGATGACCCCGCCCCCTCAGGCTGAGGAGGGATTGGATGATGACTGTGATGATGTCATCACTGCTGTCACCACAGAGCATCACTTCTGAGTTGATCCAGTGTGTTCAGTGTGTTCTGGTTCTTAATGAAGCTAAAATGTTTGAGTCATCAGCAAATAAACCTCAGATTTCCTTAATAGATCACAAACAGCAGAGGACCCAGAACACTTCCCTGTGGAACTCCTCATGTTCTAGTTTGACTTGTAGATGATGTTGAACTCAGGATCTCAGACTTCAGCAACAGTCTCACTTTAAACTCTTCTAATCTTATTCTGTAAGCAGCTGTGTGAGAGCAGATATCAGAATTAACTCTGTCAGGTTTAGTGAAGCCTGATCACTCAGAAAAAGACTGACTGAGGTGAACTTGATTCATGATACAGGTGTAAATTCTTTGTACAAAGCCGTCGACATGTTTTTGGTCCAAATGGAAACTGATAGTTATTCAGGTTCGAGTTTTGTTATTGTTCATATTGGTTTGGTTCAGATGTTTTAGAACAACGTGAAGTCTTTAATTTTTTATTTACTACTATATGTTTTTAATAAACCTCACACAGTTTACCAAATCTCAGAGAACCAACCTATCATGTTTATTGATGGAGGGGATACCGGAGCACCCAGAAGAAACCCCTGCAGACACAGGGAGAACATGTAAACTCTACACATAAAAGCCAGGACGACCAGGGTTTAAACTTGGAACCTTCTAGCTGTGAGGCCATAGTGCTCTCCACCGGGCCACAATGCACCCACGTTATAGTCATACAGAGGACGTATGTTTTCCATTTGAGAAAAGGTGAAGACGACCTTGATAGGATATCTGGCGTTGGTAAGTAGATGCTTACGTGTCATGGTAGATCTGAATTTTATTGATTTCATACTCCTTGCCTCTGTCACCTTTCCTCTGTAAATAATATCACAGAGAGCACGGTCTAGACCTGCTCTATATAAAAAGTGCAATGAGATAACTGTTGTTGTGAATCAGTGCTATATTAATAAAATTTTATCGAATTGAACTGGATGTGTGAGAAGGCTAACAGTCTCACTCTCAATTCGTCACATATGGACACTTGGTCCTTGGCATTGCATTTAATGCCCTGGGTACCCGTTTTGCTTGGTTTTTGGACGTGTAGGGCTCCTCGGTCAAGTTAGCAATAAGACAGCCTAAGTCCCTCACTTCCACGGGAAAAATATGTACGGCAGTCAACGTCAAATGTTTTTATCCTGTTTGAATTGTGCTCTGAATTACACATATGATGTTGGTCAATTTAAAAAATTATTTTGCCGTCAAGAAAGTTGCAGTTTGTCTTAAAGAAGTAAACTAACATTAAGTGCTGTGTGAAAGCAACATGTTAACACTGTAATGCAAACTAACGTTACTTGTTTGTAACTTAGCTATGTTTCACACAGAAATGTATCTCACCTGATGTGCTTGATCCAAAGACTCTCAGTCCTTTTTATCACATCATCCTCTCATGTAAACTCTCTGACGTTAGCTTCAGTAACGTTAGCTTCAGTCATTGAGAGAAAAAGTTACTTTTGGGTTTGTGGTCCTTGTAATAATGTATTTTCAGACTATACTTCAACAGTTTTACATGAAACTGCGACTTTCTTGACTTTTAAATTTATATTTTAAATTGACCATCATCATATCAAAGAATAGTTGTCTCCTGCCGTTGACTAGTATACATATTATTTCTGAAGTACGGTCCCATGGTGGTCCACTGGAAGGGGAGGGACTCTATAAATATGTAACATCCGGTTAGACGTAATAAATAAAGAATAAAACTAGTGATTATCATTGTAAAACATCTCATTTTGGTTGGGTGTAGCTACCTTGGGTTAAAAAACTTAACTTACATAACTTCACTAAAATCAATCAATATTTACTTTTCTATACAAAAGTCCAGTCGCTGAACCACGTGCCAACCACCTCCTTACTTGGACTATACTGTTAAAAACAAAAACGCTACAGCTGGAGAAGGCAGATTCACGTAGGTCGATCCAAACAGGGTTGACAAACAAAAGGCCCGGTCGTCATGTTGGGATACTTCTCCTGTGACAGCAGCCCCAGAATTCAGCCTTCATGTTTTATCTCATGTGAAAGTCACTCTGAAGACTCACAGCTTCATTCTCTAGTAATATAAAAAAAAATTATCCAACTTTGGAGGTGATGTTGTCCACAACAATATCTTCTGAGTTCTTCTGAGTTGATCCAGTGTGTTCAGTGTGTTCTGGTTCTTAATGAAGCTAAAATGTTTGAGTCATCAGCAAATAAACCTCAGATTTCCTTAATAGATCACAAACAGCAGAGGACCCAGAACACTTCCCTGTGGAACTCCTCATGTTCTAGTTTGACTTGTAGATGATGTTGAACTCAGGATCTCAGACTTCAGCAACAGTCTCACTTTAAACTCTTCTAATCTTATTCTGTAAGCAGCTGTGTGAGAGCAGATATCAGAATTAACTCTGTCAGGTTTAGTGAAGCCTGATCACTCAGAAAAAGACTGACTGAGGTGAACTTGATTCATGATACAGGTGTAAATTCTTTGTACAAAGCCGTCGACATGTTTTTGGTCCAAATGGAAACTGATAGTTATTCAGGTTCGAGTTTTGTTATTGTTCATATTGGTTTGGTTCAGATGTTTTAGAACAACGTGAAGTCTTTAATTTTTTATTTACTACTATATGTTTTTAATAAACCTCACACAGTTTACCAAATCTCAGAGAACCAACCTATCATGTTTATTGATGGAGGGGATACCGGAGCACCCAGAAGAAACCCCTGCAGACACAGGGAGAACATGTAAACTCTACACATAAAAGCCAGGACGACCAGGGTTTAAACTTGGAACCTTCTAGCTGTGAGGCCATAGTGCTCTCCACCGGGCCACAATGCACCCACGTTATAGTCATACAGAGGACGTATGTTTTCCATTTGAGAAAAGGTGAAGACGACCTTGATAGGATATCTGGCGTTGGTAAGTAGATGCTTACGTGTCATGGTAGATCTGAATTTTATTGATTTCATACTCCTTGCCTCTGTCACCTTTCCTCTGTAAATAATATCACAGAGAGCACGGTCTAGACCTGCTCTATATAAAAAGTGCAATGAGATAACTGTTGTTGTGAATCAGTGCTATATTAATAAAATTTTATCGAATTGAACTGGATGTGTGAGAAGGCTAACAGTCTCACTCTCAATTCGTCACATATGGACACTTGGTCCTTGGCATTGCATTTAATGCCCTGGGTACCCGTTTTGCTTGGTTTTTGGACGTGTAGGGCTCCTCGGTCAAGTTAGCAATAAGACAGCCTAAGTCCCTCACTTCCACGGGAAAAATATGTACGGCAGTCAACGTCAAATGTTTTTATCCTGTTTGAATTGTGCTCTGAATTACACATATGATGTTGGTCAATTTAAAAAATTATTTTGCCGTCAAGAAAGTTGCAGTTTGTCTTAAAGAAGTAAACTAACATTAAGTGCTGTGTGAAAGCAACATGTTAACACTGTAATGCAAACTAACGTTACTTGTTTGTAACTTAGCTATGTTTCACACAGAAATGTATCTCACCTGATGTGCTTGATCCAAAGACTCTCAGTCCTTTTTATCACATCATCCTCTCATGTAAACTCTCTGACGTTAGCTTCAGTAACGTTAGCTTCAGTCATTGAGAGAAAAAGTTACTTTTGGGTTTGTGGTCCTTGTAATAATGTATTTTCAGACTATACTTCAACAGTTTTACATGAAACTGCGACTTTCTTGACTTTTAAATTTATATTTTAAATTGACCATCATCATATCAAAGAATAGTTGTCTCCTGCCGTTGACTAGTATACATATTATTTCTGAAGTACGGTCCCATGGTGGTCCACTGGAAGGGGAGGGACTCTATAAATATGTAACATCCGGTTAGACGTAATAAATAAAGAATAAAACTAGTGATTATCATTGTAAAACATCTCATTTTGGTTGGGTGTAGCTACCTTGGGTTAAAAAACTTAACTTACATAACTTCACTAAAATCAATCAATATTTACTTTTCTATACAAAAGTCCAGTCGCTGAACCACGTGCCAACCACCTCCTTACTTGGACTATACTGTTAAAAACAAAAACGCTACAGCTGGAGAAGGCAGATTCACGTAGGTCGATCCAAACAGGGTTGACAAACAAAAGGCCCGGTCGTCATGTTGGGATACTTCTCCTGTGACAGCAGCCCCAGAATTCAGCCTTCATGTTTTATCTCATGTGAAAGTCACTCTGAAGACTCACAGCTTCATTCTCTAGTAATATAAAAAAAAATTATCCAACTTTGGAGGTGATGTTGTCCACAACAATATCTTCTGAGTTCTTCTGAGTTGATCCAGTGTGTTCAGTGTGTTCTGGTTCTTAATGAAGCTAAAATGTTTGAGTCATCAGCAAATAAACCTCAGATTTCCTTAATAGATCACAAACAGCAGAGGACCCAGAACACTTCCCTGTGGAACTCCTCATGTTCTAGTTTGACTTGTAGATGATGTTGAACTCAGGATCTCAGACTTCAGCAACAGTCTCACTTTAAACTCTTCTAATCTTATTCTGTAAGCAGCTGTGTGAGAGCAGATATCAGAATTAACTCTGTCAGGTTTAGTGAAGCCTGATCACTCAGAAAAAGACTGACTGAGGTGAACTTGATTCATGATACAGGTGTAAATTCTTTGTACAAAGCCGTCGACATGTTTTTGGTCCAAATGGAAACTGATAGTTATTCAGGTTCGAGTTTTGTTATTGTTCATATTGGTTTGGTTCAGATGTTTTAGAACAACGTGAAGTCTTTAATTTTTATTTACTACTATATGTTTTTAATAAACCTCACACAGTTTACCAAATCTCAGAGAACCAACCTATCATGTTTATTGATGGAGGGGATACCGGAGCACCCAGAAGAAACCCCTGCAGACACAGGGAGAACATGTAAACTCTACACATAAAAGCCAGGACGACCAGGGTTTAAACTTGGAACCTTCTAGCTGTGAGGCCATAGTGCTCTCCACCGGGCCACAATGCACCCACGTTATAGTCATACAGAGGACGTATGTTTTCCATTTGAGAAAAGGTGAAGACGACCTTGATAGGATATCTGGCGTTGGTAAGTAGATGCTTACGTGTCATGGTAGATCTGAATTTTATTGATTTCATACTCCTTGCCTCTGTCACCTTTCCTCTGTAAATAATATCACAGAGAGCACGGTCTAGACCTGCTCTATATAAAAAGTGCAATGAGATAACTGTTGTTGTGAATCAGTGCTATATTAATAAAATTTTATCGAATTGAACTGGATGTGTGAGAAGGCTAACAGTCTCACTCTCAATTCGTCACATATGGACACTTGGTCCTTGGCATTGCATTTAATGCCCTGGGTACCCGTTTTGCTTGGTTTTTGGACGTGTAGGGCTCCTCGGTCAAGTTAGCAATAAGACAGCCTAAGTCCCTCACTTCCACGGGAAAAATATGTACGGCAGTCAACGTCAAATGTTTTTATCCTGTTTGAATTGTGCTCTGAATTACACATATGATGTTGGTCAATTTAAAAAATTATTTTGCCGTCAAGAAAGTTGCAGTTTGTCTTAAAGAAGTAAACTAACATTAAGTGCTGTGTGAAAGCAACATGTTAACACTGTAATGCAAACTAACGTTACTTGTTTGTAACTTAGCTATGTTTCACACAGAAATGTATCTCACCTGATGTGCTTGATCCAAAGACTCTCAGTCCTTTTTATCACATCATCCTCTCATGTAAACTCTCTGACGTTAGCTTCAGTAACGTTAGCTTCAGTCATTGAGAGAAAAAGTTACTTTTGGGTTTGTGGTCCTTGTAATAATGTATTTTCAGACTATACTTCAACAGTTTTACATGAAACTGCGACTTTCTTGACTTTTAAATTTATATTTTAAATTGACCATCATCATATCAAAGAATAGTTGTCTCTGCCGTTGACTAGTATACATATTATTTCTGAAGTACGGTCCCATGGTGGTCCACTGGAAGGGGAGGGACTCTATAAATATGTAACA